AACGTAACAACGCTTCCTATTGATTTCTCTGGGGAAATGGGCTGTACCAGCTCCACCAACATAAACGAGATAACTGGGCCCAGTACCCGCTGGGAGCCCTGTGCAGGTGAGACCTTGCAGCCAGGGCTCAGCACTGTAGGGCGCCACGTGCTCTTGGCTTCAGCTGCAGCTTTCATTTAAAAATACTGCTGGAAGAGGTACTTGGCTTTTCATCATAGAAGGTGGTTAGTAAATAAAATCAAACAGAAATAAATTAAAAATGTCTTCAAAATGCTGTCCTCATACCCTTGCCTCCGCCCAGCCAAAATCCTTCCTTTTTGATTTCACCGCTGTTTATAGTTTATTTTTTTCAGTCTTGTGGTGACTTTTTTGTTTTCTAATGAAAGGTGTAAGATAGAACCCACAATTTATAAAGAATTCACACACCTGCATTGTTACCAGATGAGTTCTTGCAGATAATTTAAACACCAGTTTTAAATTCCAGGATAATATACATTTATTTTCTGGCAATGGCCCTGGGGACTAGGAAAATCCAAGTTGGTTGATCTGCAGTTTACAATCTTACGGCGATTTTTCTGTGTTGTTTTCCAAGGAGTTTGCAGACTGACTGAAGTCTCCAGTATGGAAATAGTTTTCTCTGGAATTTTGCTCTCTGCTTTCCTTTCCCAGTCTCTTCCAGCTAAACGCCTGCAGCGATACGGCCTGTGGCCATTCACCTCCATCACTGTTTACTTCAGAACTCATCTGGAATCTTTGACATGCTAATGCTCAGCACAGCAATGCAGGCAATAAATATTCAGGCAGAGCTGAGGACTTGTTTCACCTGCCCGCATACCAAGCCAGCCTCAACCCCTCTGTTCCCTTCACCCAGCTTGCACCGCCTGTCGTTCAGCCCATCCTTGGCAGTACCGCTTTGAGGAGGGCTTTTGTACCTGCTGCATGGTTTACAGGCTATATTGTGTCTTGGGAACCCTTTTTGGAGTCAGGTTCAGGACAAGCCATGTCTTGTCCTGCAAAACAACTCAAAAATGCTAGTGAAGACTTGAGCGGTAATGGAGATTGGGTTCAGGAGGCAGCGCTAGCTCTGCTAGGCTCCCGGCCCCCGTTCAGCACGTTGTGGCCAAGGTCTGGTGCCCGGGCAGTCAGATGCAGCCACACGACAGACACGAGCTGGTTCTTTCTCCAGCTCCTCACGTCCACCTTGCAAATCCCTACCATCACCGCTGTCATAGCCATTCCCTTCGCCAATGGTCCTTGCAGGGGAGACAAGTAGTGAAAAGAGGTTAGAAATGCAGGTCCCTCCTGGGGAGAGGCGTGCGTGGAGGCTTGTGCTGAGGCTCACTGGCAAGGTCTGGAGGAAGAGAGAACCTCTGAGCCTCCAGGGACACAGAAGGGCATGTGCCGTGGCACGGGACGGTGCCCCAGCCTGTACTCCAAATCCGGGCTTGTTCAGAGAGCCCTGGGGACTGCCTCTGTCCCTCCTCCTTATTTCCCAGCCTCCCCTCTCTATGGGCAGTTTTGGGATGGAGCTGCCTCCCCGCAGAAGGGGATGGCTAGCCAGCGGCTTTGCTTGCGAAGCCACGAGGTGCTGGGCTAATGCCCTTTACCACCAGAGAGCCAGTTTAACTCAATACTGCAGCTTGAAGTCGATACGATGGATGTGCCTGTGGCAGCAAGACAGCTGAAATTTTTGTCTGGCATCCACCTTTTTTTTTTTTTCTCCTGCTTTTGATATCCAGAAGATGTCTGTGTCCCTTTGAAGCAGGGACCCTCCCACTGCAGTGCTTGTTACTCCTCTGTTTAACGTGGTTTAACGCTTAGTGACTGAGATCACCTACGGATTTGGCTGCAGGACCAACAAGAACACCCCAGCTGTCACGGACTTGGGAGCTTTTCCTTGTGTTTATAGACCCTGGGCCCCTTGTCCGGTGTGTACGGGGAGACGTGTGTTAGCGGGGCTCCTCACCAGTTCTTTGTGGCCGGGCCAAGAGTATTGAAGGTGTCAAGATCGAAATTGCTAGGCGAGTCCTGCCTGAAGCCTGAGGCTGCGCAGAGGCAGGGAGGCCTCACACAAAAGAGATCACAGAGGGCTGCAGGAAACGTGCTGCCTCCAGAGCGGCAGCTCCGCTCCCCGGGGACTGCAGCGACAGAAGGAACAGCACGTACGAGGCTGGTGGGCTTCTGCCAAACCAGAGAGACATGGGCTATGGCCACACCAGGGTGCTGCTCCTGTCTCCCACTGCATCGCCATTCAGAACGTGGGAGCTGTTTAAATCTGTTTCCCTCGGAACAAAGGAGCCAGATTAGTTCTTGCACTTGAAAGCAGAAGGTTGGGGCTGGTGCTGTTTCCTACAGGAGTGTTGAGAGGCAAATCCCTCGAGTAAAATAGAATCCAGGAAAATAATAGTAATGATGATTCATTTGTCTCTGAATCTGACATCTTAGCATCCAGCGGTGCGCCGGTGACCTCTTGCCATGTTACTATTACGCGCTGGCTCTTGAATGGATTCCACAAGCTGCAAGCTTTGGGCTATATTTACCTTGCTAATCGTGTGACTTCCTTGCTCCTTTACAGACTCCAGTATATAAATATGGACATCATCACCTACGGATTCATCGTCCTCAGAGCCCCAAGAACCCCAGAGTTTCACAACGCCCGCTCAGATGATTACTTTACAAGGCCAGCACATTCGGTTGGTATTTAATGGTAGGGTGTACGGTGCCATATATTTTAAAACGGGGCTCGAAGAATGCAGCTGGAGGGCAGGGTCGGTATCTCTGGCTGGGAATGGGCTTATCCTGCTCCTGCTGCCAGCAGGATTTAACCACGCTTTGTGCAACAGAGCTGAGCACGCTTGTCCTTGGCTCCGCTCGCAGCTAAGTTGCGTTCGGAGTAAGTTCAGTTGCATCAGTTAACACCAGAATAAACCACCAGACCTTGGCAAAGGCTTCGCTGCCTTGGAGAGCCATGAATCTCCATGTAATGCAAAAATCCATAATATTTCCAGTGCCTCACTACCTGTCTCACAGAGAGACCTTGCCCAGAACAACCCATTCATCAGAATCTGAAATAATGGTTTCTCTGTCCGTGTCTGACTTGGTAAACCACAGTTTCCCTCGGCTCAGCCTGTAAAAAGTGCTTCTGTGATCACAAAAGCAGATCCTTTTCTAATAAAAAGTAAAAAGTCAATTCTCGTTTCACCGAAGCACTGTAAAGCAGCAGAAGGCTTCTGTTGGCACATGTTTTAGAACTGGGAAAACAACGTGTGTAAAAACCCTGATGTAAATCCATTGCTTTGGGGGAAAAAGTGCTTTTCTGTGATAGTTTACCATTGTTTACATGATTATAACAGGCTCTGCACGAGGGAAGCTACGCTCATCCCAAAATAATAAATAAACCAAACCAGTGCAGGCAAGTTGAGGATCCAGCCAGCGCTGAGCCAGCGGGAGCAGCCTGGCGTGGGGGGGCTGGGTACCAGCAGCCTTGCCTTTGCCTCAAAACTCTGTCGCTCCTTGCAGTGCCGTCCCAGGTGGACGCCGAAGTTGGAGTCAGCGGAGTTCCGTGCTTGCCTGTGGTTGCCATTGTGAGAATGGATCCTTTCTTTGGGCCAGCAAAGTGCGTGGAGGGTACAGTGCAAAGGTGCTAGGTGGGAGGGTCGGGGCAGCGACGGTCCCCAAATGCAGACCCTTTTGCCTCAAAGGAGCAAGGGGACCTTGCTGTGCATCCCCAGCGAGTTAAATGTCCCATGAACGTGGTTTGCCCGTAGCGTCCTAATCGTCCTGAAGCCTTCTGCTCCTGAGGTGTCCACCTTGAAAAAAATGGCTTCATTCAGTACCAGTGAGGAGCTCCCCCTCATCCCTGCCCGATCCAAAGCATTTCTAGTCAATGAGTGCTCCCATTTACGCCACGTCCACAGAAATCGTTTTGATCCTATTTTTTTCCCAAGTGTTTTTGCTCTGCTTTAACTTTGGATCCCCAGAAAGCTTTCCCTTCCACTTTCATTTCCAACTTCGTTTAAAAAAAAACCACAATGGCAATTTCTCTTACTTTCTGTTTGCTACAGGAAGATTTATTTTGCTTAATTATTTGGATTTTTTTTCTAGTTTCTATGCTGGGTAATTTAGTGCTGCTGGTGTGAAGTTCAGCCCCCGACCTGGTTGTGTTTTGCTGGTGAACGCAATATAAAGTACAGAAGCTGTGATGAAAAGGTAAGCAGTTACTAAGTTACATTTATCTTCCTATTCTCCACTGGTTTTAAGATCCACCAGCGCGGACAACCCCTTTCTTTGGTGATTGCATCGGGGTTTAATTTTTTCCAAGCTCCTTAGACCTAAACTCAACTACTGCAGCCCTGTGAGTAACAGCGTTTGCTAACCCGTGGCACTTTGCCATTTTCTTACGTCAGGAAATGTCACGTTGTGTGATAACTGTCCACAGACTCAGTGCTGTCATGATTTTTATGAAATCTCTTACTTTTTTTTTTAATCCCCCGCCATGCGGCAACTCCGCCGGCGGTGGCCCGGCCGCTGTGGCGATGC